ATACTCATTTTAGAAATGAAAAAAGGTAGGCACAGCAAAAGATAATTTGCCGAAAGTCATACTTGGTATTAAGAGACACTTTCCACTATACCATCCTTCCCTTTTTTTGTGTCTTACCAGGTTTCTGTTTGCCTTTATTCTTTAATCTTTGTCTTCCTAGTCCACACGTGTCTTCCTTTAGACATTGCTATCATAATTTCAGAGAGAGGATTCAAAAAAAAAAAAAAATCACAGTTTCAAATGAATATCTCGTCGGCCACTTGCTATGTGGTTTAACACTATTTTTCCTTACCAACTAGCAACTTGAACAATCAACTCCTTGGTAATCTAGGCTGCTGCTGGTCTTTTTTTCCTAAATATATTGTAAAGTATTATCACATCATATGTTATCAAGTATTACTTGAGAATTGAGATGCTTTGACTACTAGAAAAGAACAGGAATATTATCTATTGAGGGCCTGTCCCACAGTACAGCTTATATTCACATTCTAACTTCTTAAAAAAAGCTACTTCAGACTCTTGAAATATGAAATCACATGTGCACATGCTTTGTGAAGGACTTCTGACAAAGAAGAACCCATTAAAATTTTTATAAGATCCAAATTTGATTTAATAAGCTAGTTTTTCCATTCATTTTACCCCAGTTTTTTAGCTCAGTATGATGACCTGTCTACCTAACTGGTGTTTTTTGTTTTTGTTTTGAGCCCAGATGTGTGTACCATACTCTAGTAAGGCCAGTGCTGGGAGTATGGAGTTTTACAAAACATGAAGCTAATAAAAACTACTGACAACTCTCTTTTTTGGTTGTTTTATATGGGAAGAGAGTAGTATCTTCAGAGAAATGTAGGTGTTTGCATTAGCTTTGCTTGGATTTCTACTTTGAGTGGCTAATGGAATTAGAATAAATATGTTTTAAGATTTCAGCAAATAAAATCAAGTACAAATATTTTCTAAGAAAATTATTGAGTGGTTTAGAGCAGGGGTCCCCAGCCTCTGGGCAACAGACCTGTACAGGGACTGGGCTGCACAGCAGGAGCAGGGGGCGAGGAATGAAGCTTCATCTGTATTTGCAGCAGCTTCACAGTTCTATTTTCACCTCAGCTCCACCTCAGATCAGGTATTAGATTCTCATAGGAGCACCAGCCCCTGGTGACGAAAAGGTTGGGGACTGCTGGTTTAGAGTATTACCCCTTGAAATAATTGGCAGTAGAGTTGCCAGAGTTGTGTGTTTATTATACATTATTTTCTAATGCAGCAGAAGTAAACAAATGATAGTTAACAATTCTTTGCTACTGAAGGCAATAGCCAGAATCAGAAAACTACATGTTAATATATTAATTAAAGGGCTTGCTTCAAATAATAGACCAACTGTATCTTAGAGATATGAATGATAATGCCACAGAAACAACTATTCTGAGTATCTAAATTGTACAAAAGCTTTAGAATCAATTGAGCAAATGTGAAGGTGGTGAAAAGTTCTGGTAATGAGGGGAAGAAATACAGAGCATTCAGACATTTACCAGTTCTTTCTTTTCCTCAGTATCAGTGACCCAGCGTTCAAATCCATCTTTTATGATTGAAGAAAGGATATGGAAATTCTCTACACTTATTAAGCCCAGGCTTAATAAGACCTAGCGTCTTTCTGAACAGAGTCTCAGCAATATTTAGCTGAATTTCTTTAGCAGTTTGAGAATCCAAGGTATCGGATGCATATTATGGTGTATTTCCATTCAGGAAAGCCTTTAAAGAACAGTTGCAAGCTTAGTATCCTCTTGGATTGAAGTGAACAAAGCTGCAGCAGAAAGTCCGACAGTCTGAATGAGCCTTTCATCACTCTGAAGGGACTCATTGCTTGCAGTTATGGCATCTAAAAACTGTTACTAAAAGCACAGGTACTTTAGAATCTCTTGGCTACAGGTCCATACTGGGACCACTATTTAGCTTAGGAACAGGAGGAAAACTTTAGCTTAAGTTTATTCATTGTTAGAAAGTTATATTACAGTAAATTATTATTTTTAATTGTAAAAAACGTCTGTTATTTATCTTATGCTTAGCCTACTTTCTACTTTTGAACTCTTCCTACCTTCTCTTTATTTTGTAATGCACGTTTCTCCAACTTTTTATTAAGAAAACTTTCAAAAAACAAAACTTGATAGTACAGTAATCAGTGTATTTGCTGGGGGAGGGGGGGCGTTTTAAATTGCAGACATCATATCACGTCACCCCCTAAATGCTATAGTATGAATGACCTAGAAATATGGTTGTTCTTCTACACAACCATAATACATTATGTGATGTACTTTTAATTAAATTTTATTTTGTGTTGGTGTCAGCCTATCTATAGTGGTACTATCAGCTAGGAATGCCTGGAGGCACTCACCTGGCCTCTTCTACTATGGGTGAGCCAGTGTTGTGGCTGGACTGGCTTGTGGTTCTTATGATTGCAAGATGCACCTTAGCAACAATATCAGGGAACTTTGAAAAAAACAAGATTCATTATTAACAGACCCTGGAAGGTTCATGGCACTTCTAGGGCCACACAGCACTTCCAGGGCCACATAGCAAAGTCACAGAGAGAGAGAGAGAGAGAGAGAGATTGATTGAGGGAGAGAGAGCACATGGGATTCTACCTTGGAGTCAAGGGTTGGATGGTAGTGTTTTACAGGTTCATTCTTTGTTGGTAAATTTAAAACATAAGAGCAGGAACTGAGCGCAGAGGGAAAAATATGGTCACTCAAGTGGTCAGTTATTTAGGTCACCTAAGGCTTTGTGAAAGGATAACTTCATGAGCGAGGTAACCTGGCTTTTTATCTGGTTGTGTAGCTGGCACTATGTATTTATGAGATGGATGTCTTTGAAATGGATATCTCAGCAATCAAAAGCTAATGTCAAGCACTTATACCACATGTATTTTAAAATTTATTCATTTTTGTATTTCAAAGACTTGAGAAAATTTAATGGAAAATTGCAAATATATGTCAAGCTTTCCTCTGAGAAAATATCCTAACAGTGTTGGTTAACCAATAGAGTCCTCTATTTAATGCTTAGCTGACATCAAACAGGACCTTTCAATAGATGTTATCAATAGATGGCGACATGAAAACAACCAACAAAAAGAAGTAGAAGTGCTTACTTCTTTTCAGGGTTTTTTTGGCATAAAAATGTAAACTAATTTTTTAATGGTGTGGTTGTGTGGTTGTCCATGCACTGTCCTATAAATTTCTTATGATCACCAATGAGTCAGTCAAGCAACAAAGTTTATTTAAATGGCTGCTAGTCATTCTCACAGAAAAAAAAAATTGTCATCACAATGTGCTAGCTCATACTGCCACAAAAAAATGTCTGATTGTGATGGTGCAGAATTTTTTTTTCCTAAAAGCAAGGTCAGTCTACGGCCATGCTACCCTGAACACGCCTGATCCTGTCTGTTCTTTGATGGGAGACCACCTAGGAAGACCAGGTGCTGTAGGCATCCAATAAATAAATAAATTAATTAATTAATTGATAAAAATAAAAGCAAGGTTATATGACATTGTACTTTTCATAGTAAGATTGTAAGCTACAAAAAGCTTACCTGTTTACTGAAGTCTTTAAATAAATAGTTTAGAAGCTTTGTCAGAGATGAATTTGTATCTGCACCTTAAGGTGATGAAGCAACAGAAGAGAAGTGATGTCAGACTTGGGGCCCAGCAGCTCCTTTCTCTGTTGTGCTTTTGTTTTCCCCATTAGGTATTCCAAATGCTGCTAGAGTTCTTATAGCAAAATATTGCCAAAGTTTAGGACATGCTTTCCTAACAAGGTATTGCTACCCCACGATAGTTGCATCTTCTCTCCAGTCTAGCACTTTTGGATTGATATGTTAACCAAATTTGTGTCATTGTAAGTCAGTTTATTAACATCATATGTAATGATTATCAAACCTTTATTCTCTGGCACTTTCCTATAAAAGGATTTTACTGCTTGAGGAAATGACCTTGTCTTATACTTTTTTGTATATCTCACACTGTAGTCTTCGTATTAACTGCTTTGTGCTTACATAACTACATATTGAGCTACACTGAATTAGTGTGTGGTTTGTGCGTATGTGTGTGTGTATGGTTGGTTTTACACCAAGAAATAAGAGTGGAACTTTTATTAACTCTGAAGTTATATTCCTATTCAAAAGGAGAAATCAGAATGAATCCCAAGTTTGGAGAAAGTTGGAACATTTTGTTTGTGCAGATATTAATATTCTGGATTTTTTTTCTACCACTAAGCAAAACTGATATAGTAAGGAAAATTATTTGCATCCAGGGGTTGAATACTAGGGTAACCTACTCTCTAGGCTCTTATATAAGGACATGGAAAAGCTTTGCATGCCATTTACCATTTACATTTTCAACAAAGAAAATGCTAATTGTCTATTTGATGTTTTTTTCTACAAAAATCCTACCAGAAAACTTGGATTCTGTATTTTCTGGATTACCTGAAAATGTTTACCAAAACAAGCACAATGTATCTTTTGACTACTCTTTATTCTAAAGACTAAAGTACCAGTAGACTTGGTGCAACTGTGGCAAAATATTGAAGATATACAAATCCTAAATGTGGATAAATTTACCATGCCATGGCAGGTAATTCATTGGAAACAAAGCTGTCCAATTTTATAGACCAAAATATAAAATAAAAAACATATGAGTACATATGTGGATATACGTAATTTCTATTAGGACTTTTTGCCTGAAACACTATTTACCAAGAAATGTGTTTTGAAGATGGCTACTGCCATCTACTGGTCTACCGTAATATATGTCAATAAAAGAGAATTAGGTCTGTTTATTGGAATCCTTAAAATATTCTTTACTGAGGGTAAGGCAGAAATTTTTGTGGTCATACAGTCTTTACTTTGTAGTATGCTTTTAGTGAACAAACTCCATAAGTCTTTCTTCACTATTACAATGTGCTATTTCCTTGTTTCAAGTTTCTGATCAAATCTTTTTTGCTTTGTCATCTCTTCCTAGTTTAATGGATCGAGAAGTGGCATTGCTTGCTGAAATGGACAAAGTGAAAGCCGAAGCAAGTAAGATTGATCTTTAATTAAAACTGTTTCCCTACTGTTGAACTGTACCCCTGAAACTTACCTGGATTTCGTTGACCAATGTCACCATAATAAAAATAAATACATTAAAAAAGAAAAAAGCTATTACCAGTTAGTAAGTACCTGCTTCTCAAACCCTATAACAAAAGCTCAATATAAATGCCTCAACAAGCGTTTTTATATTTAGCTAAACAATCTTGAGCAGTTGTACTGCAGTGGCGAATGAATTTTTTCAGGCAAAACAACTTTACAAGAGCCTGTTTTTAGAATATTTACAAATTTTAATATTTCGAATGTAGAGTTCAATGTATAAAAAGAAAATGTGTCATACTATGCCACCGCAACATCAGCTTAGGAGGATAAAGTCTCTTGTAGGTGCCTATTTTTTTTCTTTTTCTCTAGTGATGAAAGAATTCCTTTGATATAATCAGAGGAGACTCACCAGGTTACCTACAATTTAGTGTATTAGTTCATGTCATTACCTATCGCAGAACTTTGTTTTCTTGATTTGTAGAAGTCTTCACTCAATATCTGTTATCATTAGGTAGGAGAAAAGTCGGTGAATTGAGGGTCAATGGCTAGGGTTCCGTGAAAGCTTACCAAAATAAATTCTGAAGGAATAGAGTCTAACTTAGGTAATTTGTGGTGTTTTATACAGAAGAACCAGATATCTGTTTTTTGGTAATTTCTATTAAGTATTTATTATGTTAAGGATATACAGCTATATGAAATGAAGGGAATGCCAACTGTAGCTTTACAATGGCATTTATTTGAGGCTTTTCAGCAGCAGGTGTTACCTTCATGCATTGAATGCCAGATTTGTAATTAGGAAGGTTGTTTCTTTTAACCTGCCCTCGAACTGGGAAGAATGGAAGTAGCTTGAAATGATGACTCAGTTAAATCATTTGTGTCTGTGGTCATGGGCCAGAGGAAGCAGCTTTGAAGCAGAGTTCATTTCGATCCATTTTAACCTGAAATGTTGAATACATAGCAGAGATGCTATCCACTATTTTTTGGAGGTAAGATTTCATTTAAATTGAGTGGTACATCCTAACATTCCTAAATGTAACAGTTTTAGTCCATTCATGTACCTGTGTGTTCTTTTTGAAGATGAAGTTTCAGATAACATCTAGTAAGAAGACGTCCTTTGAACATATTTCAAGGAGACTAATATAATTAACTCCCATCACCGAGCTTCAGCCAATTATCAATTCATGGCTAATCTTATTTTCTCAAAATCAGAGCTACAGTTTTACTTCATCAATTTTTTAATCTGTATCTCCTTTCTCTCATGCTAAAAATCCTGGTTCCTGATAATACTAATGTAATTACTCATTTTCCGGTACTGTCAAGAAGGTGCTTCTTTTTCCTTTTTATACATTGTAGTTTTATTAATTTATATGTTCGTAGTACTTCACAGTTCAGAGTTTTTTCACTCTTTCATATATAATCTTCATGTCAACTATGAGGTGGTTAGAGTTTCCTAATTTTTTTTTTTCACTTTATAAATGAAGAAACTAGTTATTTGGGAAAATATGACTTGTCTAAAGTCATATAATTAGGTGCTTTGAATTAATTTTATGTATAGAAATCTTTACTTGACAAATTTTCTCCATATTAAGATCTATAATTCTAGAATGCTGGAGCTGAGAGAAAATGAATTTGATACAAATGCTAAATAGGTTATATCTTGGGAGCCAAACCAATAGATTATTTGTAGCTGTTGGGCCTTGGTATTGAGACTTTTGTAGGCTCGTTCCTAACTTATTGAGAAAGTATGCCCTTACTAATTAACCTGACATGGGTCTGAGCATGTCATACCCATGGGTGGCATACTTAGCAATCAGGCTAAGTAAACTTGCTAAGGAGGTTTAGATCTCTGTAATACCTGATGTAGCTCTTTGAAAATTTTATTTTTTTCCTAATATAAATGTGGCTAATTTCACAATAGATTACAGGATTCTGTGTATAACAAGAATTGAATTTGACTGTATGCAACACGTGTGGGCTAAATACACGTGAGTTTATTTTTCTCTCGTGAAATGAAAAGTCAAGAGGTAAGTGATCCAGAGCTGAAGGGCATCTCCAAAATGACATGAAGAGACCAGGCTTCACTGTCCTACCCAGCCATTCTTAGAATGTGTTTACAATCAAAGGTACCTCCTAGGGCTCCAGTTGAGGAGGAGCAAAATGTGACATGCCAGCTAAAACTCCTATAAAGAACTTTGCTGTAAACCTCACCCTGTGAGTTCTGCTTAGATCTCAGTGGCCAGACTGTATCACGTGACTGTCTTATCTGTTGCAAAGCCAAAAAAAATGTAGATTTTTACCTAAGTAGGTTGGTACCCAACAACATTGGACTTCTGGTAGGAGAATGGATATGCAGTCATTAACAGTCTTTGCTACAGTACACCCCTCAGCTACCCAACATCCTTCTTTTTTCTAAAATGAAAACATACTCACCTTCTCCTCAATAGCATCACCTCCAAAATCTCAGCTAGTTAGTATAGTCAGCTGAAAGTCCAAGGCTTCCGGAGAATTTTAGATCTTCCAACAGGTCTGGATATGGCACACTGTAGTCTGGGGTCCCAGAAACTAAAAGAAAAGTTAAGCGCCCCCTCCTCCAATATTACATAGATAAAGAAGAGATAATTATAGTAAAAATTCCCATTTGGAAAAGCAATGATCAACTCTTACTGGACAAGAATAGCAGAGTCCCTGCCCTGGTGGAAGAGAAAGTTACTTGGTTTATCTGGTAGCCCTTAGTTCTGTTTCTTAGGAAGATTTCTTATACCCATGTCCTCTGTAGCCCCTGGCTCTCTAAGATTTTTTTTTTATTGTTTGTTGTTCTCCATGGTCATATCTGAGTTACATGTCTGGGAGCATGCCAAAGAAGATGCTTCTTAAAATGCTGTAAACAACCTAAATATCTATCACTAGGGAACTTGGTAAATAATTGTGGTATATCCACATAGTAAAATACTATGTGGCTGTTAAACAGAGGGAGATTCAATATATTAATAGGAATTGAACTTCACGATATATTAAGTAAAAATAGCTAAAGTAAAGGAAGGACCATGTATATGATATACTCTCATATGTATAGAGAGTATAAAAAAAGGGAGAGGGGTGTATGTTGTATATGTATAGAATATATTTGGAAGTATACTTAAGAAATTGTTTACAGTGGTTTCCTCTGGGGAGGGGACCACAAAGTCAGAAATAGGAGGGACACTATTTTCATTTCATACTCATTTATTCTAGGTGAATTTTTTTTGATCATATGTGCATATTTGTTTTAATTTACATGCTTCTTGATGAAATTTTGAATAGAAAAAAAGACATGATTTATGCATGTTTATGATTCATAAAAAGTATTTACTATTTAACTGCCTTCAGAGTCCCTCAAGAAGGTGGAAACTGAACCTTTGGTATTTTCATTTTCTGGGTAGGTGGGCTGCTAAGCCTTTGGCTGTCCACATACATACTGCAAGACCTATACTTCCAGTTCTTCTTTATCCTGTTGAGCAGAACGTAAGCGTCATACTCCTTTTCCTCTACAGTGGAAATTTTGCTCAGCCGACAAAAGAAAGCCGAACTTTTAAAGAAGATGACTGATGTGGCTGTTCGAATGTCAGAAGAGCAATTGGTTGAGCTCAGAGCTGATATCAAGGTAAAACTTCCTTCTCTTTTCTGCCTTTCTTCTTACCCTCGGGACTAAAGTAGCAAATCTCCATAATTCATGGCCATATCAAATATATTGAACTCATGATCTTCCCTTCTGAAACCTGGCCCTCTTCCTGGTTCCCTTTCTCTGTAAGTGGTACTGTCATCTACACAGTTGTCCAAGCTGGAAACCTTAGGAAATTTCTCCTTTCTTACATGAAATCAATCAGCAGACCCTGTCCATTTGGCTTCCTACTGAATCTCACATCTGGCCTTTACTTTTGAGCTCCACCACCACCATCATGATCAAGTTACTATTATCTCTTGCTTGCACTTCTGTAATAGCTTCTTAACTGATTCCACTCATCCACTTTGCCACTGTTCCACCCTCCCAGTTCCTCCAAATCTGTTCCTCACGCTACAGTAACCTACTTGCAACTTTCCGTTGCTTTTAGAAAAAAGACTACCATTCTTAACACAGGCTGTAGGGCCCTGCATGGTCTGTCTCTGCCACCATCTTCATTTCACACTATACCTCTCTTGTTTTTTATATTCCAGCCATATTAACTTTTTCTTTCCACAGACATACCCTGTTGCCTCCTAGAGGGCTACTGCACATGCTTTCCTACCTGTGGAAAATCCTCTTTTCCCTCCCTGCCACTCTCAGCACACATAATCACGACCTACTCATCGTTCTGGACTTTTCTGTCATATCCCCCTATTTTGTGCCTTCATAGCACAGTTATATTCCATGTATGTTTAATTACTGTATCTTTCTCACTAGATTGTGAACTTTACAATGGAAGGAACTGCTGTGTCTCCAGTGCCTAGCATAGTAGTAGTTTTTCAGTAAATATTTAAATTGTTGGTTGGTCGATTTAGATTTTATAGAGAAAAATGAGCAATTTGAGATGTTGATTTTATTGTGATCTATTTAACACTCATACATTTTAAATTCTTAAGAACAGCGTTTCTGAGACTAAGCATGGGAACCTGAGAGAGGTGGGATCGTCAAGGGTAGTTGTAGACACTGGTATTCTAAATAATTGTTTATTAAGCATGAGCTGTATGAACAAGAAGAGTTGGCCTTCCCTGCTCCTGAGCCCTTAACCTCTGTTCCTTTTCAATGCATGTGATTCATTGCCATATATGAGAGGAATACTTGCTGTAGAAGCCATGTGTAACAGCCTTTGTAAAATAAAAAGATAGATGGAAGATCATCTAAACCCTTACAGATGTCCTTGTTATCATTTTGACCTAGTCTGCCACACAAACCTATGTCATGTTGTTATTCTCTCACTCCTTCCCCATAGATACTGTTGGGGGTGAAATAGCAGAACAACATAAATTTTAATTATCATTTTCTGATTAACTAAAACTGTAGTACTAAATTTTTGGAAAGTCTTCCTCGCAAAAATAAAAACTAAAAAAATAAATAAATAAAACATTAAGTACTCATACTGAAAAACAAAACAAAATAAAAAAGATAAAGTCTTCCTTGCATCGATGCCAGTCAGTCTCATTCAGCTGTCTGGGAAAAGCCAGAATCCCCTTTGGAATTAGATGAGAATTCTGGCTCTCATAAGGCTTCATCTGTTTCTCTTCCCACGTGGTCAAAAAGCTGCTAGAAATATTTCTGCAGGCTGACTAAGGATCTGTTGTTTCTCTCCATGTTTTCCGTGTACTGAAGTGGGTGCTATGCAATTTAAATGTCTTATTTCCAGATCATTTTATTTCCGTCATTCCTTTGGCTCAACACACTCTAGAATTTGTTTCAGAATTAATCTCAGACTGATATTACGTGTCTGAAGGCTTTGTTACAGAGGTTTATGTGCTTTCCTAAGCCACAGTATACTCTGAAGCTTTAGGGCTTCAAGGCCCAGAGATAATTTTTATTTCTCCTTTCCCTTCATTACTTCTAGATGCATCTCAAGGATTCTGATGCATTCAGTTCTACTCCTTGAAAATCCAAAACAGCCAGTGAGAGGACTGCTCTGAGGAGTTTGATTCTTCTAAATTATATCTAGACCTTTAACTTTTCTTTTTCTCTTCTTTTCATCTGAAAAAAAAAAAAAATGATTCCAGGCTACTTTAGAAATTGTTTATTGAAACAGACCTCCAGAAACACCTTATTCCTGACATGTTTCTAGTCCCACAATTTCTGTATTATAGTTAGTTTCTGACTAAAGGGGTTGATTACTTCTCAGCTCAGTCTGCTTAAAAGGATTAAATTATTTGCAGCATAAACTTCTCATTTGTAAAGTTGACTTTTCACATGAATGATTTTCCATCTCAAGAAATCATTTCTATTTCAAGAACTAACAAACCCTACTTTATAAAGAGGTGAAGTGGGTTTCCTAAGGAAGTTCCTATTAAGAAACACCAAACCATCTATTTAAATGAAATCACTGTTGTAACTTAATGAGCATTTTTGCTGCCTCTGCTTCTGTATAAGATGGGATGATATGGAGAGTAGCCAACAGTGGAAAGATGGCCCTCTACTATAAATTCTTTCCTTTCTCTTAATTATACTAAGTGGGTTTTGACCATCATGTAGCATTTCTTAAAGCTCCCAAATAGACTTATCTTTGCGCTCTTAAGAAAATGACTGAATTTTATCAATCACCCAGCATTGGTAATATGTCCATTAGTAAACTTTGAAGCAGTAAAAAGAAGACAATTGAAAATAATTGTTTCATCTGTACATAGCAAGCTATAGATTCCATGTGTACTGTTTGTCTCACTTGGAGGCTTTTCTTTGCCCTTTCTCCAGCATTTTGTTAGTGAACGTAAATATGATGAGGATCTGGGACGAGTAGCCCGGTTCACCTGTGACGTAGAGACCCTAAAGAAGAACATTGATTCATTTGGACAAGGTGAGATGGTGAGAGATTTAGGGCACTAGAGATGGCGATGAGAAGACTACCCTCTACTAAATAGAAATTAAAGTGCCAGTTGGCTTCTCCACTGATTCTTCTTTAGCGCCTCTTGTGTTTTTGTTTGTTTGCTTGTTTTTATGAAAACTAAGTCTGAGATCCTTAAGAAGTCAGTAGACTTGGAAGCTTTAAGCCCTGAGCATAGATATTTTCTAGCTCCCTAAATTTGCAATATATTTTCACCATTCTTCGTTGAGAGGTATATGATATGCATTATAGAGAACGTGGGGCTCTGGAGTCAGACCAAGTTTGAATCCTTGCCTCTACACTGACCTTTTGGAACCTCATTTTACTTCTCTCCAAAATGAAGATAACAATACCTGCCTTGTGTGGCACACAATAGTTACTTACATAACAGCTTCAAAAGGGTTGAGGTGGGGATCACTTCATAGATTATACAAATGTCCATCAGGTAGGCTCTTCACCTGAAACTAATATAAAATAATATTGAATGTCAACTGTAATTGAAAAATGAAATTTTTTAAAAGGGGGAGGTGTGCCTCTAAAGCGAGAGTTTGTTGTGATACCAGTCAAACCCTCAGCTCAGCTCCTTTGTTCTTTCCATCTCAGTATAAAAGCGAAATGTTGGACCTAGGGCAGTGATTGTGAACTCAATGTTAGTCCAGGCTTAAAACCAAGAAAAAAATCAAGGGGGCAGTTAAACCATTGAATTCTGACAAATTTTAAATTGAAAATGTTAATATATTTCGGCAAGATTGATATTTTGAATTTAGGATGATTTTTGCAGAAAGAACCTTAGGAAGATACATGTTTATTTAAATACTAGTTCTGTTCATATTAACTAACTTTGATTATTTATACCATGCATCATTCAAATTTTTAGAAAAAGATTTAGCCCTTACCTTTTTCTTTCTTTACAAAGTCTGTACGTTAGAGTGTTCTTTGCGTAGGAAACTGAACATATGGCCCATACTATTGTTCCTAGGCTTAGTCAGCTGCAGGAGCCATAGCCAGGAGTTTAGGTAGTAGAAATGCCAAGAAGTCATTACTTGGTGGGGGGATGTGTCGCTCTGATCTTAACCTGTTATTCCTGTCTCTAAGAATTTCTTTTCAAAGCAGTGAGGATTTGGAGGGAATGAAGGAGGAGGGCAAAGGGAGATTTTCTTTCTTGTTACCCATTTTGTAAGCTTTTCTTTAGAATTACTCAAGTAGATGATTCTTTATCTTAAATTGCTCATTGTGAAATGGAGAAATAGGGAAAACCTTACCCTTAATGCTCTTTCAGCATATGATGACATATTTCTCATATTTCTATTTCAGTGTCTCATCCAAAGAACAGCTATTCAACCCGGTCCCGATGTAGTTCAGTTACATCTATGTCCTTGAGTAGTCTTTGTGATGCCTCTGCTGCTTCGTCTTCCACCTGTGCCTCCGCTCCCAGCCTTACAAATGCTAACAAGAAAAACTCGGCACCAGGAGAGACTCCTGCAGCCATAGCAAACTCCAGTGGCCGGCCCTACCAGCCTCATCGAGAGGTAACCTGGCTTCCCCACTGAGCTAGTTAGGAAGAACATTACCAGATTGTCACCGTTTAAATGCTAACAGCTCGGTACATTACCTTCCTCTCTTTATTCTCATTCCACACCTATTTTCAATCCCTCCAGCCCCAGCTAGTTCCAAAGAAAGCATTTGGTATATATGTTCCAAACCATCAGCTAGTTTAGATTTCCTGTTGCCAAGACTGCTGACTTTCTGATGTTGGCAGTGATCCCAGCTGTTGTAGGTAGTATTGCCTGTTAATTAGTCACACTGGGAGTCATGTACCCATCTCGAGGTAGACAAGCACCACAGTGGCAGATTGACCAGAGTGCATCTGATGGAGCAGCTCCCTAGAAGCACAATGTAGAATATATCAGGTAGAGAGAGAGTGCACCTAGTATGTGGGGAGTGAACACTGGAAAGTTGCAGAATAATCCAAAGTTTATTCTCCTTGGTTTGATAAAGATACCCAAGAGGAATTCAAGGCAATGTTGTCAACAATTCTTCAGAACTATATTACATTGGAATTGGAGGATAAAAGTAAAATCCATGCCATCAGCTTTCTGGATTATAATGTGAAAATGTACTACATGTCACAGCAACATGATCTGTGGTTCATGATATATAGCAAAGCTAATCATAATGATGTTTATTTTAGTATTCCAAATGTTCCTTATCTTTATAAATGGCGTATGATCTGCAAAGTTCAGACGTGTGATAAGATACTTGCCCAATTGAGTCCTTGTAATAACTCAAAGAATGTTCTTTCTTCCTTCTTTGGCTTGTGCCCAGCTAAAGAAAACCCTTCAGTGGAGAAGAGCCTAGAGGTGAAAGGTAGAAGAAAAAATAGTGAAAGATTTATTATCTCTGATGTAGTGGCTAGGTTGAATTGGCTGACAGAATTCTCTGAGTCTTGAGAAATAACTGAGTCCTAGGCACAGAATGCTACAGTTATGCTGTCAGAAGACTCCTATAAACCAAACTGGAATGAACAGGGTACCATAATGCCAGAGTGCTTTGAACATTGTATTCTTTTATCCTTAGGTATTGCCGGGGAACAGACGAGGAGGACAAGGCTACAGGCCACAGGGCCAAAAGTCCAGTGACCCCACGAACCAAGGGCGACATGACAGTATGGGTCGTTACAGAAATAGCTCATGGTATTCATCTGGTTCCAGGTATCAGAGTGTGCCACCACAAGTACCAGGAAACACTAGTGAATGGGGCCAGGCTCACTCTGCAGGGACCAATGGAACTGGCGCCAGCATGGAGCCCAGCCCACCCAAGCCCTCATTCAAGAAGGGGCTTCCCCAGCGCAAACCCAGGACCTCTCATTCTGAAGCTGTGAACTCTTGAGGGAAATTCCAGTTGGCCTCTCTCCTCAATCCCATACAATTCAACTTGGTATCTGGACTTTAGAAAACCTATAGTTAGATTTAATAACAAAAATAAGTTTACATGTGTCACTTTTTATGCCATTCTAAATGTTTTTGGTTTCTTCTCTCCTCATTTCCTCTTTACCATTTTTGGAGGCAAACCTGTTTTTCCCTCAGCCTTTCCCAATGATATGGATTGATTCTGATTGGTCGTTTCCACCAGGAATCATAGGCAGCTGTAACCAGGTTTCCCAAGGGTAAGCAATGTTCTTCCCGTGGCACCAGGCCTTTCAGTTTCCAAAGAGGCCTTCCTCTGCAGCCTCCTACTGTTCAGCTTCTCAGGAGGAGACAGATCAGAGCTAGTCCTGTTGCCTTTCCAGTCTGAGCAGAAGCCACATATTCCTGGCAGTTTCCTTCTAAACAACAGTGTAACCAAAAGCAATGAGAGGATTGAGTGCTATACTGAATTAGCCAGAGACAGAGAAATTTAATTGGTGAAAAAGAACACTATGAAATATTTGAGAATCTGCCTCTCCTCCCAGAACATGCCTAAGACTGACACTCAGATCAGGGTTCCAGCCTCCTGCTTGGCACCATAACTTAACCTGCAGTTTCTTCAGTGCCCAAAGCCTTGTTTCCTGTTACTTTAGACTACAAACCAGTCTAGGGAAATCTATGGGAAAGTAGCATTTAATTAAAGTTTAAAAAAGGGAAAAAGTTTCTTTGTTTCAGTGTTTGAAGATTTTTGTTGTTATTCTCCCTCTTTCCTGAATCTTATTCTGATCTTGAACCAAATTTATAGTAATATAATTAGTGTTAATCTAAGATGTATCCATCAAAAAATCGCCACAGTCAGTCTTTATAGTTGAATAAATAAAAACAACTGCATAAATGTTCCCACATTTGTTTCCTAGCAGCAAGTGACTTCATTTCATTTTCTGTTTTTCTTTGGGTCTCATGGGATAGAAGTATCTCGGACAGCTTATTTGGGGCTTAAATGAAGGTATGATTCCTAAATCGTTTGTCCAGCACTTAACTTCAGAAGCAAATTAAAATGTGAAAGCCAGGATGAGGAAATGTAGCTGTACCTGTGGGAAAGATTCATAGGTTAAGGAATGGTGACTTTCCAAAAGAGAGCTCACCAGTTTAGAAAAACCACAGCTGCTAACAGCTTTCTCAGACAACCAAAGGTTATATCAGCACCCCTCTCCTCCATTGCCTGTTCCTTGACAGGAGTAGTGAATGTAACAGTATAATTGAGCTCTAGTATGTAGCAGGTGGCATTGGTGCCAGACCCCTCCACCCTACCCCCACCCCCAGCATCTATGATTTAATAACAGCAGAGCTATTTATTTCTCCAACATTTGTTCTCTCAAGTCTGAAGCCCAGACTGTAAGTGGCAGTGGTGCAGAACTTAGCTGCCTCAGGGTTTCCCCTGGCTCCTTGGCTGAGGCTGAGCTGCCAGGGTTCAGGTTGGTTGAACAGATTGAGGGAGGGAAGGAGGGAGTGGGGGGCGGCGGGGAGACAGAAAGAGGGAGAGAGAAATTCTTGGTAATGAAAATAGTAGTCGAGCACTGGGAAGCCATTTTCTAAAGGGTTCATCACTTCATTTTTGGAAATTTGTCCAACAACACCATCAGCCTGCTGGGTATCAGGAAAAAGCCCTGCTTTTCTGATTAGGTGCTTACCTCACTTTATAGGAAATTTAGAGATTGAAGCAACCTTGAAAGATTATGAGGTCTATCTCTGTATCTAGGCAAGACTCTTTAATCACCCAGATAGATGGGAAGCCACTGTTTGTCAAAACTGCCTTGAGGTCAAAATTAAAATCTCCTTATAGAAAAATATTTGGAGAGTTTTTTTCTATGACCATAAGAAGTTTGAAAATTATGAAGATTTTTCTACATTTTGTTTATTACAAAAGTAGTATCTAAAATGTCAAATAATACTGAAATGTAAAAGGAAAAAGTTGAAGTTCTTCTGTCTTCCCAATTCTATTCCCCAGGGGTAATGACTATTAATTATTTGGTATATACCCTTGTAGACCTTTTTCAAGGCATGTATATGCATATATACATGGATTTTTACTTCTTGTTTTTATAAAAAGAGATCATACTGTATGAATTCTACAATTCTTTTAATTAATATGTCTAAAACAATTCATTTAGGATCTCATAGATACTCTGCTCCTAAATTTGTCATTTGTCTTTCTTAAATGAAGAGAAGTTAGGTTTATCTTAATGTTTGAATTATGCAGCCCATTCCTTGCTCCCCATAATAGTTATGGGCTTCCCAAGAGAAAGGAGGCTCTGAACCCTAGGCAGCGCTCATTGGCTACTCATCATTTTACCTTCCCTTTCCATTTCCTCTTAGGAATCAATGTCTTGCCCCTTCCTACTAGAGATAGGACTTGAAACTTCAGGTTGTTTAGCTCTGGCAATTACATGCCACTTGAGAGAGAACATTTAAATTAGCATGGCTTCATTATGAACAGATACCTGCTAGGCCCTTACTTACGCAAATTCTTAAAATTCACTTTTTTTAAATTCATTTTTTAAAAAGTTTTTTTTTTTAAGGTATAAAAGAATACATCATGGAAAGTAAAAAATACAGAGATTTTCCTTACTAGCACACATATATCATAAGGATTTATACCACTTAGACCTCTTCTCATGTCACTACAGATAAATACACCTTGTTCTTTCTATAGCTGCATAGATCCCATTGGATAAATTTATAATTAGATTAACCAGTCCCTACTGATGGTTTTCAGTTTTTTGCTATAAGTATTGCCAAAATGAGCATCTCATAATAACATATCATTCTTCATTTGTGAGAGTATATCTTTAGGATAAATTCTTAGGAATGAAATTGCTGGATCACATAGTTATTGACAAAGTACTCTTAAAAAGATGCATAGATTTACACTCTCACCAACAGTATTTGGAAGTGTTGAGCTAGAAGCTAAGGAAAGAGAAAGATAACTAAAATACAGCCCTTCAAGTGGCTGATAAACTAGTTGGGGCAACTGAGACATACAGATAAAATAATACAGAGTAATTGTGATGCCTAAAAGAGCCATCCTATCTTCTGTGAGTAAAATGGACGAAGCACCACTTTAAGGGCTGGGTCCTATGTTTAAACTAGAACTATACAAGGGGTGATCAGGCATTTGTTCAGTAGTTTATAGATAGGGTAGGGTGAACTTTGGTTTTAGAATCCCAAAACAGGGTACGGTCTTATGAGTATGAATGTATGTGTGTGAGAAAACAGGATAAGTTATTTTAGGCTGGAGTGACCTGGAAAAGCCAGATGCATGGTTATCAATCTGTGAATTAACTAACCTATGCTAGGCACTATGCTGAGTTCAGAGGCAAATATCGATAATTCTAGCTCTATTTTTCAACCACTTTGCAGGTAAAGGAAATAGAGCACTTAGCCCTTCCTTAAACTCTTGGAAGCCATGCCTCATGGCTAGGCAGTGTGGGAGAGTGGAAAGACCCTGGACTTTTGAGACACACACTTGGATTTTAATTCTAGCTTAACAGTTTGGTAGCTATGTGAGCGGCTAACCTTGGGCAAATAACATCTTTGAATCTCTTCCTGAACTGTAAATGGAGACAGTGGCAACTATTTCATGGAGGGGCAGTAGCTGGCCAGGTGTCCAGGTGCTGCAGAACAACACCCCGGTGTCAACTAACCTGTGACAAGTTGAACATTCACCATAGCTCCTTTGCTTTTCTGTCTCTCCTGCCCTGTAAAAAAGTATATGAAAGACTTGAAAGACCTTATTAACCAGAAAATAATTCAGTCATCTTGTTTATCTTGTGGCTTTTCTCTGAGTGCATATCCCCCCAGCATGGTGCCCCTCTTGTACCTGTCAAAACACACCTCTGTCCCCAGTTTCTGAGCTCTCTGGATGGAGCAGACCAGATGTTGATGGCACTGACCCGGCTAAACAGTCACCACCAGTTTAGCAGCATGCAGGAGTGAAGCGGAGGCCAGGGTTTTCCAGGGAGAGCCAGGCAATGTTATTTCCATACAGGTGCTGAAGGAGTTCTATTACCTACGTTGCTACTCCTTACTAAGGAGGAATACTATCTGAAGGAGATTTTTCTGGTGAGGAAACTCACCCACCATCACTACTGCCAGCACAACTGTTCTTCAGCCCGCCCGCCCCTTCACTGCTGTCAAAACAGCAGGAACAAATACCGCCCACTCTGACTTCTCAGGGAAAAGTCAGGTCTCCTTTTTATGTCTCTCTTCAACAACCCAGTTAGGCTTTCTCTGTAACTTGATTTCAAACAAACCCATTTTCTGGGCTGCAAGAACACAGACTGAGATGGAGATTTCTCAGATTCATTCCCTTGCCAGCTCCAGGTAGGATGGTGGTAGCCTGCCCTCTGGTAGGCAGGGCCTGCAGTCCAGGCATGAAGTTCAAGTTGCTGTTCACAGCGGGCACTCACTAAATGTCATCCGACCACTCATCAAAATGACCATGCTGCCCTCTTTCCATAAGCTGTTTACCAAAGAACAAAACAAAGCACCCCAGCAGTATGGCACAGTAGCAAATTGCTATTAACCTAGTCAAATCTTGGTTCAGACCTGATTCCTCAACTACTAGTTATGAGACATAAAACAGTTTATCTGTTTATAAAACCATGTACCTCCCAGGATTCACTTGATTCAAAGTTTATTGTGGTTTACTCACACTCTAGCTAGGATCATCCACTAAAAGAAAAAGGATGGCCTAGAATTATATAGACAAGGGGTAGCCAAGTACCGGAGGCCTCAAAGTATTCCAAAATATTTTATTTTAGAGGGGAAGAGGAACCTTCTGTGAGGCTTCATCCTGAACTCATTTTCCATGGTTCTAGCACCCAAGGCCAGAGCAAGCTTTTAGGGGACCCTTTAACAACGATGGCTATCACTTCTAAGCTCATTTCACAACTGAACTGATGCTCTGAGATTAACACCCACCCCAGCCCCACCCTGCTGAAGGTCACCCAGTTGGTCAGTGGCAGTTAGAATTCTAACCCAAATGAGTCTGACTTGAAAGCCTGAGATTTTTCCCACCACATAACACAGCCTTAGAAGCGGAGCCTGGCCACACTGGCTGAGAGAGCCAGGCTGGAGAAACAAACACCTGGGAATCTCCAGAAGAGGGTGGAGAGAGTGGGAAGAGGGGAGGAGATGGGAGGGGCCCCTGGGCTCTGTTCCTAGACAGCCACCTGTTCTCACCCACTGTGACTGACTCTGCCTATGCCTGCCGTTTGGGGGCTAGGGGCTTTATTCATCTTTTGTGCCTTGAGCGTTTTTTATCCCCCTAACTTTGCTCTTCCCTTCTCTCCTTGTTCCTTTTGTAGATAATACTCCTACAGGCCTCCCACGGCAGCTCCAAAACAGCCTCCTGAGTTTCTTCTTGTTGACAATGGCTCTGAACAGGGCTCTCCCTCAATCTTCCCCTCCCTGTGACTCCCCACTGTGGCTGATGAGTTGAGAGAAGGGGAGAGGAAAAGATTACAGTGAGGAGGTCAGTGCTCCATGACTTCCCAGTGCTCTGTTCACATCAACTCCTCCCCAACCCCCATCTTCCTATCTCTAACCAGGTCCCTGCCCCTTCCTGTATTTGGAGGTGGGGGGAGGAGGTGGAAGGAGAAGACAGGAAGACCTGAGGGACTAGGTAAAGATACAGAGATAAAAAGACTTGCTCAGGGTAACCACGCTGGTAAAAACTACATATCCCTACCTCTGCTTCCACATTTGTGAAACGAGTGTAAATAGCATCTACCCTGCCTATTGCACAGGGCTCCTGTAAGATTCAAAATCAGATAATAAACATTAACATGATGTAAATGTCACACATTGTTCTAGGTCCTTTAATTCTCCTAACAACCCTCTG